CATGGATCGAATATGTGAGAAACAACGTAGCCTTAGAGAAAATGGAAACAAAAAGGAAACTATGTCCTACATCAGAAAGAGACAATTGAAATTTCTAGGGCACATAATGAGGAAGGAAGGTTTGGAAAATTTGATACTCACAAGAAAAATTAAAGTCAAGAGGGACAGAGGAAAACAACGTATAACGTAGTGAGCTTGAGTAAATGGATGGCCGAATAAGATTTAAGAGAAATAACAAAAAGACAAAATTTATTAAGAGCTACAAAGGACAGGAAGTTGTGGAGAGCCATGATTGCATATGTCCTGAGGTATACAACAGATGGAAGAAAATAATGCGAATGAGTAAATGTATGGCAGAACAGTGTTTAGGAGAAATAACAAAAAGACAAAATTTATTAAGAGCTACAAAGGACAGGAAATTGTGGAGAGCCATGACCGCCTACATCCTAAAAGGTATATAACAGATAGAAGAAGAAGAAGAATAAGCTTGAGTAAATGGATGGCGGAACAAGGTTTAAGAGAAATAACAAAAAGACAAAATTTATTAAGAACTACGATGGAGAGGAAATTGTGGAGAGCCATGATTGCCTACGTCCTGAAGGGATACAACAGATAAAAGAAGAATTTTCAGGAAATTCGGTTTCTGAGGTCCACTGTTATTAATCTTTCCAGTACCGAAGAGTATTTCCTTTCTAATCTTTTGTTTGAAGTTGTGCGGAACGTCAGCATCTTAATTATGTTCTTATTTTCTCATCGAGCTATCCATTTTAGTTGTTGCTACGGTTGGAAATCCTCAAATGAATTAAACGTTGGCAATTGTAAAAGCAGTTGATATTGTTTGGAATAATTAATACCCATGCTTACCAACACCATCTCTATTCTCTCATTGGACATGGCTTTGGATTCAGGAGCTGTCAAGAACGCTATATAAAATCATAAATCAGAGAATTCTTTCTGAAGTTGTTTGTCCAGGCCGCCATCAGCAATTTGCATTTTGATTAATAAATAATTTGTTCTTAAGTGTTATTTCATACCTATCTATACACACAACTACTTATGCACAGATACATGCATTAAATTTGTTAAATTTTTGATTGTATACATAAAGATTTTTTTCCAAAAGGGTTGTCTGAATATGAGTACGTCGTATTAAAATACAATTTTAAAATATTATTTCTAATTCTAATTACTAATAGACTATACTTCTTTTTAAAACAAATAAATGTATTAGAATTACTTTATTATTTGAAAATTATTATTAAAATATCAAATACAAATATCTATGTTTCTATATATATATATATATATATATATATATATATATATATATATATATATATATATATATATATATATATAAAGAAAGAACAGTAAGATATATAATCCGGTGTTCTTATAGATATTTTTTTATTTTTACAAAATAGTGCTCAATGTAAATTTACAGAGCATTAATATTATAAATTAATTGATTCAAAATATGGGTTTTTTCGCTACACTGTTCTAACCATGTTTATTATATAAAAAATAAAAGTTTACTAAATCTGTGAAATTAATTAGTTATTTTTGCCGTATTGTCATAAATTTTACTTAAATAATATTTAAATATAATAAAAAAAATTGTTACCTAATAATATACATACTCATACTTGATGTGAAAATAATTCTACATACTGTAAGGGATTCTAATACATTTACTTGTTCTTAAAAGAAATATAGTATATTAAAAATTAAAAGTGAAAATATTTTTCAAATCGTAGTTAAATAAAACGTATTCTAACCTAACCCCCCAATCTTTAAATATACAAATAGGAAAAAATGCCGTAAGAATTTTTGCCGTTAAAAATATAATTTAAAAAAAATCCAGACGACATGCATTTAACGGATGTCAGAATTCATTGAAAAATACATCCCTACCCCAACCAAAACGTAACTAATAACTGATACATCAAAATACAGATATAATGAACACGCAAACACCCCTTGTCTGGTTGAATTGGATTTCTCTGTATCCTTGGAAATGTGAATTATGATTTTTGCTGTGTCTTTAAAACCCAGTAATTTTAAAAGTTACTCCAAAATTCGCTTGAGGATGAAATGGAACTAATGTCTTTAATTTAATTACAAATTTAAATTCGGAGCTTTCAGCTTCCATTTTTGAAACATGGTTAGAACTGTGTAGCGAAAAAAAAAACATATTTTAAATCAATTAATTTATAATATATATATATATATATATATATATATATATATATATGGCCAAATAAATTTGATTCAAAACAACCAACAATTTGTGGAGGGGATTTTTTTCCTATTTTTGAATAAGGTGTTGAGTATTATGCTCGATGTTGTTGATAAAATGTATATTTTGTTATTGTCTTCTTGTAGTACTTTCGGCCGCCTCACTCATTATCAAGATCCAATGTAGTGTCTGTGTAGTAGTTAGAGTTCCTACAATCTAGTAGTCTTTGGAATTGTATATTTTTCTTCTATTAATTTAATATATGTTCAAGACACTATCTCCTGTGGTAAATGATGGTAATGTATTTATTTTGGGCTGTTTATTTCGTATATTAATAGCTTCTAGAGTTTTGTGTCTTTCCTTTGCTTTGAGTACTATAGAGTATTTTTGTGTTATCCACTATGCATACATTATTTGTGATTCTTTAGCGTCAGTCTACGAGGTTCGAGGAATGATAGTCCTCGCTAAACTTACAGAATTCATTCGTTCGAAATCACCTTTAACCAGCAATTTGAGAAAATTTGTGTATACAACTGACAGTTTAGATATTTCTGATCATTTTTGTTGACTTGTATTACATCTGTATTAAATTCTATAAATCTGACGTTTATCTAAATACAAGACCCAAGATTTTAGATTAATGTTTTGGTTTTGTATCAGCTTGCGGTTTTGTGGGAAACTACCCTTATATTCTTTGTTCAGATTTTCCTTATCTCCTATACTAATTTTATTTTGCTAACTGATCCATTTTTCTGAAGTATTCAGTATTTATTATTTCCATACCTGAAAATTACTTCGCTCATGCAAGCATTGTCTTCGCGTTCTGGGTAGCCATCTAAATTATTCCAAACCTGCTTTCGGAAGATGGATGCTGCGTTGTCTCCCAAAACATTGGGATACATTGATGACATTTTTTTCTCGGATGCCGTAGACGATAATTGTCAACTTGAGTCCAGTTTTTGAAGTTTTAATGTTATCACAGACTTACCGGCGGTGCAATGTATAGCGCCTCAGAATGAGAAATCAGAGAGGCGAGTTCGAATTCGAGTTTAGATCGTTACATTCACTTAAGCGTACCATTGGGAAAGCTATGAATCCATTTTTCTGTCGCCCGGTTCATACTCCTCTCCGGTCTTTTGAACAGAAGTAGATGTTTATCCCTTGTTTCCTGTTTAGGATTGAATTTCCAGTTCTAAAGTCTAATTCAACTCTATATTCCTGACGTGTCCACCTAAACTCTGAAATTTTATTTAATATTTATTTTTATTTTTATTTCCTCAATAGAAGTAGATAAGTTCGCCTATCGTCCGGTTTACACTCCTCCCCGGACTTTTGAACAGGATTAGAGGTTTGTCCCTTCTTTCTTGTTTTGGATGGGGTTCCCGCTTCCTTCTAAAGTCTTTCCATTCTCTTTCACTCCCAGTAGCCCTTGCGTATTAGTAGCCTTATCGCCTTGCTTGGGGGTGAATTGATTTAAAAAAAAAACGAAAGAAAAATATTACAACTTTGAATTCAAAACTGTAACAACCAAATCACAGGTTGCTCTTTAACAAGGCATAGCACTCGGAAGCCTATCCTACACGAGTTTTGGTGAAGGCACCGTGATAGCAGGACGTTGGCTGTAGTCAATGGCAGTAACTAACAGATTGCATTTCACATTGAATTCTAATGGTGTCATGCAAAAGATCCTTCATACTAGGCAATGGATGAGTCCTAATTATAAATAATCTGAAGCGTATTTGCGCAGAAGTGAATATGACGAACCCGAGTGGAATTGGAACTATGTTCTCCGATTTCGAATTCCGAGCCGTTATCCATTGCACCACCCGCACATCCAAGTTTATTCCCAAGCGATTATCCGTCAGGCTCGATGTTGCTTAACTTCAGTAATCGTACGGGATCCGGTTTTTCAACGTGATATGACAGTATCCTCCAGCTTTGGGAGTTAGCGTTCGAAAAACTTGAGGTCAGCAGGAAACAGACAAAAACTGAGACATTTTTCATTAAAAAAAAAAAAAATACACTTGACAAAACTTTGAAAAACGTCTTCAAATAATATTTGGTGATATAAAAGTTAAATTCATTAAATTTACTCAATTCTTTTTCGATAATGTAGGTATTCAGTTATCCGGAATTTTGAATTATTCGTATATTTTTTCAATCCTTATTCCAAGTTGTCTGGAGAATCTAGGAAGTGCTGTAGAGAAGATCTTCTATGCCGCCAAATACGACAGATTTATTCATTAATAGTAACAGGAACTGATTGGTTGGTTGGCTGATTTTATTTAACGGCATATCAACACCTCTATGGGTTATTTAATGCCGAAATCTAAATACTTTGATTTTGGTTAGTTGATTTTGTTTAGCGGCATACCAACACCTCTATGGGTTATTTAATGCCGAAATCTAAATACTTTGATTTTGGTTAGTTGATTTTGTTTAGCGGTATATCAACACCTCTATGGGTTATTTAATGACGAACTCTAAATATTTGGATTTTGGTTGGTTGATTTTGTTTAGCGGCATATCAACACCTCTATGGGGTATTAAATGCCGGAATCTAAATATTTTTGTATTCAATTTTATTTTTGGTGATACTAATGGTTTAGTGATATAAGTCTTACTAATTAACCCATAGTTGGGTTGGATTCATACCTTTCCGAAGTAAATGAATTTAATAAAATCGACTGGAATTGGAACTCGGTTGTCCGATTAGCAATTCCGAGCCATTATCCATTATACCACCCACACATTTAAGCTTACACCTGGTATTTCCAATGGTCACCCATCTAGGTACTGACCAGGATCTAGGTCGCTTAACTTCGGGGATCGTACGGGAACCGGTGTTTCAACGTGATGTGGCCGTAAGCCAGCAGAAATTGAATGAAAAGAGACAATAACATTTGAAGATTGCAGTGAAGAAACCCGTAAGATTGTAGCAGGTCTATGCAATAAGCCTGGGAGCGAATTGATGATACGAAGAGACATGGAAGCCGTCATCATTTATTTAGAAGAAAGGAAAGTTAAGAAAGTTCCAAAGTATCTAATCGTATGTCCACCGCTATTCTATCGATCTTTCTATCGCAAAGGTTCAGACGGGTGACATTCCTTAGTTCTTAAAGTCCTTAGAGTGGAATCGTGCTAATTTCCTTCGTATTCCACTGGTAAGAAGGAAGTTCTGCTTTGTGAAACGGACTCCCGAGAGGATGCTTCCCCGACCACAACAAACTTAACTTCTTCGAGGTCGTCGGGCTAACCGTTTTCTATCTTATATTTCTCATAATCTGAACTTGTTTCCTCTTCTGACGTCCATACAACAACCTCATTTATTAACCCACTACATTGAGTGGTTCTTGGGCTTTATATTGATTGCAAATTTAATAAAAAGAAGTTGTAGGGACAACCCTAATACCAAGCACATTTCGGCTCTGTTTTCATGATTAGCAACTGTTTGTTAGAAAAATTAGAGAGAGAGAGAGAGAGAGAGAGAGTTTGCTTTTAGTAAATTTTTGATAAGAAAATGATAGATAAAAGAGAAAGAGCCATTTTTTTTTTGCATTTTCTTGCAAAAGAATAAGAAAGAGAGAGTAGATAAAAACGAAACCTTTCTCCGAATGAAGGAAGAAGAAAAAAGAGAACGAAGAGAGAGAGAGAGAGAGAGAGAGAGAGAGAGAGAGAGAGAATGTTTTTTTCTTAGCAAACAATATCGTTCTTGAGGAAATTTTAGTTAGGAAAGAAGAAAAGGGAAAGAGAAAAGATGGAAAGAGAATTTGTTAGTGAGAGAAAGAAAAGATAAAGAGATTTGTTAGTGAGAGAAAGAGAATTTCACTGTGCGACATTTCGTTTAGCAAATTTTTGCTGGGCAAATTTTTGCTGGGCAAATTTTGGCTGAGCAAATTTTGGCTGAGCAAGTTTTTTAGCAAATTTTACTGAGAAAAAGTGGAAGACAAAGCGGTGGAAAAGGCGCCGTTTCTGATCGTAAAATTTTGCTGAGAGAGAAAGAGAGGGAGAAGAAGAGAGAGATTGAGAAAAGGAGAGGGGGAAAAGCATTTCACTTAGGAAGTGATCCTTGTTTTGCAGAGGAAAAAGTAAAAAGAAAAGAATTAAAGAAATCATTTCGCTTGGCATTTTCTTTTTTTGATGGGAGTCAAAGAAAGAGAGAGAGAGAGAGAGAGAGAGACAGAGAGAGAGAGTAATGGAAGAGAGAGTGAAACAAGAGAGAAAGGTTGGAAAAGTGGGAGAGAATATTCTTTTGTCTTCGCAAAAGTCTTGCTATTTTGTTCTCTCACACTTTCTTAACCTTTCTCTGTCTTCCTCTTTCTCAAACTCTCTCTCTCTTCTTGTACCCTATTTCTTCCCTTTCTCTATTCCAGTGGTTCTCAACATTTATTTTATCTGTCTATATTTCTGAGATGAGGTATTATGTACATTATTTACATTATTCGGACTATTGTCCTCATCTTTGTCGCCATATTTATTACAACGTTTCGGCGCTTTAGTATCTGTCTATATTTCTGAGATGAGGTATTATGTACATTATTTATTTACATTATTCGATTTATTGTCGGCCTATATTTCTTTGTCGCATTATTCGACTATTGTCCTCATCTTTTTATTTACAACGTTTCAGCGCTTTAGTATCTGGGTCTATATTTCTGAGATGAGGTATTATACATTATTTACATTATTCGGACTATTGTCCTCATCTTTGTCGCCATATTTATTACAACGTTTCGGCGCTTTAGTATCTGTCTATATTTCTGAGATGAGGTATTATGTACATTATTTACATTATTCGGACTATTGTCCTCATCTTTGTCGCCATATTTATTACAACGTTTCAGCCCTTTTTAGTATCTGAGATGAGGTACATTATATTTCTGAGATGATCTTTGGCCATATTTATTACAACGTTTACTTTCGTTTACATTATTTCTGAGACTATTGTCCATTATTCGGACTATTGTCCTCATCTTTGTCGCCATATTTATTACAACGTTTCGGCGCTTTAGTATCTGGTTCATATTTCTGAGATGAGGTATTATGTACATTATTTACATTATTCGGACTATTGTCCTCATCTTTGTCGCCATATTTATTACAACGTTTCGGCCCTTTAGTATCTGTCTATATTTCTGAGATGAGGTATTATGTACATTATTTACATTATTCGGACTATTGTCCTCATCTTTGTCGCCATATTTATTACAACGTTTCGACTGCTGTACGCTCCGGCCTTCTTCTTTTTTCTTACCTATGGGCCACTTTTACTTTTATTAATTTTCAGTTGATCCCCATAACCATTCGATGAAAAAAAAGCTTATTTTATTTTTTACTAATAGATAAGTTTAGGAATTGTATTATAGAAATAGTAAATTATATGCTTTCTTTATGTAAAATCCTTAAAATATCACCGTGAACCCCTAGTTTGCTATACTTTGTGTGGACCTCCATTAATGTTACATGGACCACCAATGTCCATACAGACCTCGATTGAGAACCACTGCTCTATTTCTTCCGTCTTCCTCTCTCAATCTCGTCCCTTCCTCTCACTCTCTCACTCTCTTCCCCTCTTCTCACTCTCTTCCCCTCTTCTCACCCTCTTTCCCTCTTCTCACTCTCTTCTGTTCGCCTCACTCACTTCCCTCCGCACTCTCTTCCCTTCATCCATCTCTTTCCTTCCCCTCTCTTACCTTTCTTCTCTCTAAATCTCTTCCTTTCCTCCCTCTGTCTGCCTTTTTCTCTCTTTCTCTTTCTCTGTCCTTAGTAAAAAACAAAAAAATGGAGAGAGAGAGAGTGCAGAGAAAGAGGAGGAACAGAGAATGAAGGTGCGGAAAAAAGAGATGGATGGAAGAGAGTGAGAGGGAGATATTTAGAGAGGGGATAGGAAAAAGAGAGAGTTTGAGAGCAGAAAGAGAGAGAGGGATGGAAGAGAGTGAGGGTGAGATTTAGAGAGAGGATAGGAAAAAGAGAGAGTGAGAGAGCGGAAAGAAAAAGAGGGAGGGATGTGAGCGAGGGGGAGATATTTAGAGAGGCGATAAGAAAAAGAGAGAGCGGGAAGAAAGTGGGGGATGGAAGAGAGTTAGGGGGAGAGACCTAGAGAAATGATAGGAAAGAGAGTGTGAGAGCAGAAAGAAAGAGAGGGATGGAAGAGAGTGAGGGTAGGAGAGATTTAGAGAGGGGATAAGAAAAAGAGAGAACGAGAGAGTAGAAAGAAAGAGAGGGAGGGAAGAGTGATAGGGAGAGGTTTAGAGAGGGGATGGGAAAAAGAGAGAATGAGTGAGCGGAAAGAAAGAGAGGGAGGGAAGTGAGTGAGGGAGAGAGATTTAGAAAGAGGATAGGAAAAAAGAGAGAGTGAGAGAGCGGAAAAAGAGAGGGGTGGAAGAGAGGGGGAGAGACCTAGAGAAAGGATAGGAAAGAGAGTGTGATAGCAGAAAGAAATAGAGGGATGGAAGAGAGTGAGGGAGGAGAGATTTAGAGAGAGGATAGGAAAAAGAAAGAATGAGAGAGCGAAAAGAAAGAGAGGGAGAGAAGTGAGTGAGGGAGAGAGATTTAGAGAGGGGATGGGAAAAAGAGAGAATGAGAGAGCAGAAAGAAAGAGAGGGAGAGATTTAGAGAGGCAATAAGAAAAAGAGAGAGCAGGAAGAAAGTGGGGGATGGAAGGGAGAGAGATTTAGTGAGGGAATAGGAGAGAGAAAGAGAGAGCGGGATGAAAGAGAGGGGATGAAAGAGAGAGGGATGAAAGAGAGAGGGAGAGACGGAGGAGGAGAGAGAAAGTTTGGGAAAGTGTGAAAGAGAATATTTTCTTTTTCTTTGGCAAAGATTTGTTTTTTTTTTTTTCCTGTTTTTTTTCTTTGCTTCTGCTAAGCAAATTCTTTCCGTTTGTTAAACTAACCGAAATAATCTTTCGGACGTCGATACTTCTTTTTCCTGATTCCCATTTTAAAGGCTTTAACTATGTTTATCCGCGGTAAGTGCCTTCCACTGCGACAACCGAAGCGCAAGGGACAGAATCTAGAAATAGAGATTGGCTGGGCCATATTCAAGTTGGGTTTATTGATTTCCCACAAACGTGTTTTCATTCGGCCAATTCGTGGTTAAAAACACAAAATAAATCAATTGTCCGAAAACGTTTGGAGTTCAGCCAGATCGTTACTTCTGATAAAACATTACATTAAATTTGATTTCTTTGAAATCGTTTTAAATTATGGCCACGATTGTTTATTTATCTCCTTATTGCAAAGCTTATTGCATGTTATTAACTCAATTTGTATTTAGTGGATATGGGAACGTGACCGAACGGTTTCGCTTTCTGACTCGGGTTCGAAGGTGTCTTCTTGTCTGGGGGAGGCGATCCCAGCGTGCGGATTCTTATGCCTGAAAAAAACCATACCACGCGTTGACCCAAGCTTTGTGAGTGAAATTAGGTAGATAAAACCCTTGGTGGTTGTGCTTGCACTAAATCACAAGTCATCGTGACCGAGAGTCCTGATCTTGTTCAGATTGTTGATCACGCTAGATAACGCACTCACTCCCAGAAACTGTAACTAAGGTCCGCTCTGTGGGCGTGGAAACAAACACAAATGTGCCTGAGCAGGTGTCTGCAACGGGGATTAGCTAGCCGTTGATAGTAGATTGGCATCCTCAGATATGAGCAGCTGTGCCATTTATAAGATTGCTTACAGGATATAACGCCACACTCCGCAGCATTAGGTGTCCAGTACCGTTCGGACTCACGGCCATATCACGTTGAAATACCGGTTCTCGTCCGATCACGGAAGTTAAGCAACCTCGAGCCTGGTCAGTATCTAGATGGGTGACCGCTTGGGAATAATGGCTCGGAATAAGGAATCGGAGAGCCGAGTTTCGAATTCCACTCGGGTTCGTTGTATTCAGTTAACGTCCAAATACCATTGGAAAAGTTTCTGTTTGAATGTTGGGAATGAGGAGTTATCATTATTTACACTATTTACATTCGGACTATTCTCCTCATCTTTGTTGTTGCTATCACAACGTTTCGGCCGTTGTGTCCGACCTTCATCAGGTGTATATCGATCTGAGTAACCTACATGGATGTCTGAATTGAACCCTTTATTTAATCTACAAGAAGTGATTGTTCTTTTTCCACTGCCCATGTCTAGGGATATATCGTCTAGAGTTTTTTTTTTTTAGTACTGTTTAATTATTGTTCGTCTTGTTTACCCCGAGTCCAAGTACAAACTGCTCACCCCAGGGATTGAACTCACAATTAATGTCACGAAATTCACGAAACAACTCTTTAATCTGCAAGAAATAAGAATGATAGGAAAATTATTTTTACTGACAATCATAGTAACATCTATATCTATAATTCTCAAAATCTGTGTGTGATCGGATGTTGTTTATGTGTTTCCACAGTTTTCATCCGATTTCAATGATTTTTTTTGTTTGATAGATATGTTGTAGAGTGATTTCACAGTGGAGGCCTGTATTTGTACTAAGTCGGTCCTAAAATAGGTTCGACATACAAAACGTTAGGAACTTCATATAATAGGTAATGACGCAGAGTAATGTAGTTGTGGTCGCTGATACTTTAGTATCCGACTAACGGTCGTCCGGCATCGACTGACTGACCGAACCCACTAAGCGACTGACTCGTTACTCTTACTACTCTTACTTATTATAGGTGGGAAAGTCTATTAACTATAGAATAGGTGTGTTCCACTATAACAAGATAATTCTTCAGTGCCGGTTTTGAGTCCAAATTGGCTGGAAAAAAATTACAACCTTGAAGGTGAAAAATCGAAAAAAACTGATTTTTTTGACACTTTGCACAAAAATCAAAGGCAAAATTTAATGTCTGTAAAAAACAACGTACAAGCAGTTTAGAGAGTTGAAATCTAACGCAAAAGATTATTAGAATTATATAAAAAAATTATACTATAAATAAAAATTATCGTATATTATTATTATGACGGCCCATGGAAGAGGTTTCTTTCTTGCAAATTGAGAACGCAAAAACGGCCCTTTTCACGCCCCCCACCATTCAAATTGTTACCCATTTGGGGATGTGCCTCAGTTGCACCCAATTGTTATTACTAATATTGATTTTCGGGTAGGCTGACTTTAAACTTAAACTACTTCAATTGAACGGCTAAAATTCCCAGTAATGAAACACCCGGTCGAAGACGGGTTATATTGCCAGTATATAATAAACCCGATTTCAACTACAATGAAAATACTATGATTTTACTCTAACAAAATGCATGATATTTATTCTGTAACATACAGAATTGTGGCACAAGGCCACTGTAGCAAAAATGCATTCCAAACATGTAAACTACCAAAATGTAATTTTAAAAAAAATCGATAGATTAATATAGCTGCTACCGATGGAAAAAATTGCTTATGAATCATAATATTATTTTTAAAATGTTGACCAAATACAAGGCCTAAATATTTGTAGAAAAGACAGAGGGAAGCTATACCATGATGGTGAGAAAGTCACTGAAGTCGATATGCCTGGTCAGGACCAATAACATTACAGACTCGTCTTTGGATTTTATCCAGAATCTCGAGATATATTGCTGGAACTTCAAACTAAATATGGTAGCAATATTCAACGCACGGACAAATCGTATATTTATAAATATCCAAGAAAAAATTGTCTGGTACGAGACATTGAACCAACTTCCTAAGCGGTAGACCTAGCACTTTATTCAATATAATCACTTCACTTCATGTCGACTGAAAACATGAGCCCAAGAAGGAGTAATACGTTGTTCTTCTGGAGTTTAGCATCGGTCATGTTGATGGGAAGGCAAAAATGGTTCTCTATGAGGAGCAAGACAGCAGTTTCATTTTTGAGGTCAGAAAAATTACAAGATAATAATTTCTTACCCCAGTTAACAACAGATTTCCGAGAGCAATTTTACTTTGTCGGACCTATTGACCTTCCATCAAAACTAAAAAAAAATAAAAAATTATCGAATTATGGTACTGCCTAAAATGCGCTAAGTTACAGAATTTAAACAAGAAAAAATATAATTGCAGCTGAAAGATATTGTGGGGTCTGTATTCGCGCCCCACTGAAACAAAAGGTAGATAAAATGTTGAATTGTAGTCAGGTGTACTGAATCAAGATACACTAGCTTAAAAATCAAAAGAAAGAAAGAAAACAACAACAACAACAAAAAAACAGTATAATTTGCAGTTGAATGATAATATTTTGGGGTCTGCATTGGCGTTCAAGTGAAAAATCAAAAATCAAAAGTTATTTTTCAAAGAAGAAACGATGCATTATATCCATGGGTATCGAATTAAAGTACCCCTAAAATGGCCTTAAATAATAAAAAAAAATGACTTTTTACAACTGAATGATAATATTGTGGAATATATATTTGCACTGTGCTTTAAAAACAAAACAAAATCAAACAAAATAGCGATTTTTCAATGGCGATAAGCTTTGAATGCTTATTATAGAATACTATCCATTATTTATTTACTTGTTTGCATATGAATAAAAAAAACTTGTCCTCCTTTTGTACATGATAAAGCAAAGTGAACAATAATCGTTTCATTATTTTACTTTTGTTTAGAAGAGCAACCCAGCTATCTAGTAAATAAATATATTGGGTAAACTTTAAAAAAAACATTGGTTTTACTCTGTACACAATATTTACTAAGCCTCGCAAGGTACATATTGGGCTATAAGTAATTAATTAGACTACAAGTAATGAATTGGACTCGGTTTGAAGTAAAGAATTGGATTCTGTTTGAAGTAATTAATCGGACTCCATCTGAAGTAATGTATTGGATTCCGTTTGATAGCTCAGCGCTACTCAATGTTGAATTGACTTTATTTTCGTTAGTAGCTCAAGTTAGCTCCTTCGAATATTGTGGACTGACGCTACAGAATCCCAAACAAAGAACTATACCAGATAAGAGAAATCACATTAATTTACGGCTTAAGGACACAGCCACACCTAAAATGGGTATCACATGTAACTCGAAGATAAAATATTGACATAATTAAGACATTGGCGTTACACACTATGGCAACAAAAGTTTAGGAAAGAAACCCACATCGAAACTGGAAAGAGCAACAACAGCTACTGGACTTGAAAAATCTATTTTTTCCCGAAAAAAATATTTTTAAGAGAAAGATTTTATAAATTTCAACCGTCATCAGTAGTATCTGCAATGTTTCCTTATAAGAAAAGGATAATCTGATTATTCCCAAATTGTTCTAGGGATCTGTCTATATTTTTGAGATGAGGTATTATGTACACTATTTACATTATTCGAACTATTTCTGTCGTCATATTTATTACGTTTCGGACAGTGAGAGAAATAAAGGGTTCAGTTCGACAACTGCAACAGATGTTTGATGTTGCAACCACCTGAAGAAGGACGGAGCATACAACGGCCGAAACGTTGTAATAAATATGGCGACATACAAAGATGAGGACTATAGTCCGAATAATGTAAATAGTGGTCTAGGGATATTATGTTGCATTAATCTTACAAACGAGAATGAACGATTCCCCCGCTCTAAAAAGTAAATAAATAAATGCATTAAAAAGTGCTAATTTCCTACCTGGGTTCGATCGCTGACAAATGCATAATGATTTCAGCCACGGGAAGGTTCGTTTGTACTCACTATACGAGTAAATATAATCAATCTTAAGGCGTAATTAAAAAAAAGCAAACAATTTATTTTGTCGCCGCTTTTCACAATTGATTATTTAAAAGCGATTTTCTAATGGAAAGCATATATAGATTTGCAACTGATACAACACACTATATTAAGCGTGATTAACCAAATGCAAACGTATAGTCGTGAAGAGATATGGATTAACAATGTTAATTCAGAACGAGATGGATTTAAGTCTATTTAAGATTTCTGGTTATCCAACTGTTGTACGGTGCTATTCTCTCATACACAGTCGGTCGGTGGTCCCCGCAACTCTGCTGATACGAAGATAAGCCAACCAGGTAAGGTCTGTGGCCAGGTTGGGAACAAACCAAAGGAGAGCCGTGATGATGATGAATATCACACGGAAGGCCGTAGGCGCACACGTGAGAGCTTCCAATGTGTTCCGTTCCAAAATAGTAACCGCATTCTCGATTACTAATTAATTGAACTGGCCGATGGTCGAGAGTGTAACACATTTCATACCTGTGAGTATGATCGTCGTTATCTAGGTTGATCGGGTTTACTCCGAACTGATGTTGCATTTGAAGCAGAGCCAGATTATTTCTCCTGATGTGGTGTCCGTAGCCGCTGCCGTCGAGATGATCAGGCTGGGCGCCTATTTGTCCGTATCTGTGAAGACGTTCAAGGTAGCGTTTATACTCGGGATGAATGACTCTGGCCACGATGTAAGAGCTGTTGTTTAAGGTGATCACTTTGTCGATGATGTTATGTCTGACAATTCTCAGCGAGGGGAGGGGCTTACGGTAGACGCATTCAGCGTTGGTAAGCACTGAATAGCGACTGACCACCGCACCGTAGCATAAATGCTGCCATCCTTTCAAATTTGCTTGTTGGACAGACATATGCCAAGGCCATAGGTGTATAGGATAGCCAATATTGCCGTAGATGTGTTGTCGTATGTGGTCAATTAAATTATTGATGTCTAATTGCTGCGGCACTTTACGCTGAGTTTTCGCTGTAGATTTCAAAATGGGCGTCCCTGTTGCATGCGTCACGACGCCATCTTTAATTTTTTCCAGTTTCGCTTTTTGTTCAAATAAAGCAGCCTTCGAAGAGAGAGGGTTTCCAATAATAGAAGAAATGAGTTTTTCTTTTTGTCTGACTCCTGGGTAGGAAAGGAGTATTGTTTTGGATTCGATTATTCGCCAGTGGCCATTTTTATTGCCGTGGACATCATTTGTTTCATCCTTGAAGTTGAAAGAGTCTCCACCAGTTTTACTGATTACAGAAGCTAGGGAGTCGCGTTCCATATCTGCATTTCCGTTATTTTTCCTTCTTTGATTCCAATTCATTTTGTCCAAGGGTCCTTTAGTCTCTTGTCCGCGAAGAAGTGATTTCGAAAGTGCGAAATTGTTTGGTAGCTTCCAGATCGTTACTTGCTTCGGTGAACGGGTAAATTCGATACTTTGATTCGATATTCGCTGAAGAGGACGGTGCCTGCTGATCGATGACCATTTTGAATCCAGACTAGAGTGATTCGAGTCGATATTTTTGGTTGATTTTACGAGCTGGGATAGCTGATCCGTCGGCAAGGAGAATGTCTTTAGGCTTTTTTTGTTTTCTCTTGAAGTCGTGTTTTTCTCATTCTTGATAGTCGTCTTGTTTTCGTGAAACGATTTCTTCTTCTTCTTTTTCGCGTTGCCATTTTCTCCGGATTCTTTCTCGTTTCCCTCCGTGAAAACCTTTGCGGGAACCGAATTTTTCATAGAAGATTTCGTCTCTGTCGCTGGACTGCTAGCGTGTTGTTCCAGACTTTGAGCAAGTGTATTCGTGATTCTTTTGGTTATGCTGCTTTTTGTCGTCAGCCCCTCGGAAGAGCCATAGATCCTCTTCGAGATTCTCTTGGTCAGCTGAGGAGAAGCTCCGTGGACTTTTTTGGTGTCATCAAGTCCTATGATACTTAAAAAACTCGCCAGCAAGCAAAGCCACAGAAATCGAGTTGAATAACCAAACATGTTGCAAATGGCTCGCATTAAAGATGGCTTTTTCTTTTTATGTTTAATAGACGGGAATTTTTTTTTGGTGATTGCAATACATCAAACATCTGTTAGTTGTCAAATTTACATTTCACTTAATGTCCAAATGTCTTATTAAGTTCATATTATTGGAGCTTAGTAAATACGGCGTGTAGATTCTTTCACGCAATGACGATAATTATTCTAATAATTCTGTTAATTTCAATATTAAAAAAAAAACAACTTATTTTAAAACCACAATCCTGAATGAGCTTGATTCATATTGATTTTCTCTTGAAAGTCTCTTTTGCGCATATGTGAATTATTTAAAGGATAAGTAGTTGTAGAGGATACGTCCAACAGGTCATATTTTATCCGTCACCTTTCTGTCTTATTTGACCACGGGCAATTCATCTACAGGGTGATTGAAATGAACCTCCCCATTTTATGTATGAGTTTCCAATCAGGAGGCCTAACAACACACTGTGACTTTTTTTTATCTGGGATTAGTTAAAAGAGCAAGTCTACTATACTCAAACCAAAGACTTTGGAAAAAATTGAAGGGCGAATACAAGAAATTATGTCTTCCATATAACAAGAATTCCTGGGGAAATTAATTGACGCGATTCCTAAGCGACTCAAGAATCTAGTAGCGAAATCTGGTGCCCATATCGAATTTTAAATAAAACCTCATGCTAAATGCTTTCCTCTCATACTCATTTCTTGTAAAAATTATAGTTGATAAATAAATTATAAGTATTTTAAAATGGGGAGTTACTTTTCAGTTGCCCTGTACAATTGACCGTTGGTCATTTTATGACTTAAGTCTCCTAGCTGGTTTTAAAATAATTCTGTTCTGTTTGCCATTTATTGAATAAGAAAATCTCCGACCACTAACATTTGACGGGGAATACAACAAATAAATACTAAACAAAAGTTGTTTTAACATAAACATTTCAATATAAAACTAGTCTGAAATAAATACTTGACTGCTTGCTTAAAACTGAATATTTCAAAACAAAGCTTGATTGAAATAATTACTTAAAGAAAAGACTTTCAAAACATAGCAACTAACCCACTTAAAGAAGCTACTTTCAAAAAGCGATATTTCAAAACAGGGCTAGATTGAAATAATTACTTAATGAAAGGACTTTCAAAACATAGCAACTCCTTAAATTACTTTCAAAAAGCGATATTTCAAAACAAGGCTTCATTGTAATAAGCACTAAAAGAAATGTCTTGTTTAAAATTAATTTTTTCAAAATAAGGAAGGCTTGAACTAAAAACCTTAAAAACATTCACAAGCAGTTTGCGCTGGCTGTTCGTAAAATAAAATAGTAGCGATGGCCTTGCGCTTAAACTATTAGCGTTCCTATCATAAGACCCAGGTTCAAATCTGATCATGGCATATTTGTCAAGGAGACGCTTTGACCCATATTTTGTAAGTGAAATTAATTAATTGATGGACAGATCATCGTGACTGAGAGTTTAAGTGTTTACCTACAAATCACGTCCCATAATGTAATCGATCCTAACCAGGTATCACGACTTCAGTCACTTTCTCACCGACGTGACATGGCTTCCCTCTGTCTTTTCTACAAATATTTTCATGGCAACTGCTCTGACGAGCTTTTCTATGGTGCTCCGACTATACGGATTTAAGCGTGCGACTGGATTGGCATCTAGGTCCCACCCTTTTACTGTTGAAATAGCTAAATTTAACCAACAGTTTCTTTTCTCGCACTTTCCACCTGTGAAACTTCCTCCCGTTTACTTGCTTCCCTGATAACTAAAATCTTCAAACGTTTAAATGCAACCTCAGACATTAGTATACATTGCCAGTTGCTTATTCTTTTTGTCTCAGTATTGTTTACTTAGTCATAGAATGACTGAGTCCTTGTAATGAAAGTTAATTGAAATTAATGAAAAAGAAAGATTAGCCAATATCTCTTCTAATGCTACGAGAGTAAACAAAGAGTCAACAATGGGGGCACAAAGCATTTTCAGGAAAGTAAAAAATAATGTTGTGTCATTAAATTTGATTTTTGGCAAACATTGGCTTTTGTAGCTCAAAAGAGAAGTTGCTAAGATCATCTTTCAAGGGTGGGGTCTTCATTTCCAATCTGAATACTGGTCTTCATATTTTCAGCAAAGAGCAACAGTGATGAAGAAATGCTAGTTAAACAAAAATGATAACAATAAATTGTTACTTCATTTAATATAAATCAAAATAATTTCTCTTTTTTTTTCATATATTAAAAGAACAAAAAGCTTTAAAAAAAAATTACATGACTAATTTTTGCTTATATATAGTTTCGGTTTAGAGATTGAAATTTTTTTTTATTAATCCGGCATATTTGTATCACTTTATTATCGCTTGTATTATTTTTAATGAATAGTGATATTTGAGTAGGCACTTTGTTCATTTATTAACCAGTGTATTTATTTATTTTTCACTGGAAAATGCAAGTATTTCTTTAATAATACTTCTGCAGGAATCAAAACTGCGTCCCTCAGAGCAGAGAGAGCCACCGTTTAGCCTGGTACGTCTTACTGCTTGGCCACGAAGGAACAGATTTCTCGAATATTCAGGCCGGTAGGTGAAAATAAATAAATATGCTGTTTAATAAATAAACGGATCGCCTTCTCAGATACAAGGATACACTAAAATAACGTTTTAAAGTGATACATATGTATGTGTGTCCCTGTGTGTGTGTGTGTGTGTGTGTGTGTTGTGTGTGTGTCTGTGTGTGTTCATTAAATGAAGGCTTTTAGATCGGCCACATCTTCAAGGATGAAACATCAATAGCCTTTATAGAGGGCGTCTTAACGCTAACACGTGACACTAGCAGATTTTGTCGTTAGGAGTTTGTGTTTGTATATGGACAAAGTCAAATATATGAGCGAGTACGAATAATAAATGAAATAACAACATTACTGGCAATTTATCACTTCCATAGTCTTATTAAGATGCGAATATCTTCCAGTATATATATATAGATAATAGCAATTAGATATCGATTTTCAAGCGAGAGATGAGTAATGTGTAACAGCTGCAAGCAACCTCTTCTTTCTAAGGGGTTCTCCCTTTTACATATATTAGCTCTTCTCATGGACCTCTCGTTCTTTTAGCTTTCCTCGCTGTAATGGCGAGCAGATATTACGGATAGCTCTTTAATACTACGGATGAGCAGCGGTGATATAATCTCATTCATTATTTGGATGTATAGTTGCGTCTTCACCACTGACATTTGAACACAGGTTTAAAAAGTCAGTATTTCGAATGCTGATTTTTAAGTAAAGCGGGAAAACTTTTTTCTCTTGAAGGACTGTGGCAACACAATCTTTTTTTTATTTTTGGGAATAGGGGCTTGTTTAAGATCTAACCTAAGGTCAGAAAATATTGTTATTGTCTAAGATATGGATGGGCAACTGTGATACCATTTCATTTATGCATGTGGTTTTTGGTTATTTTGCGTATTTCACACCAGCGCCAGTAGTCTGCATTCGAGTTCAAGTAAACATTACAGTATTTGGAATGCTGATTTTCAAGGTAAGCTAGCCATTCACGGAGGATTCACTCAACCCAACCCCATTCTTTCATTTTGGCCTAAAGTACTGTTCAAGTTAAGATTAGAAAATATTGATACGTTGATAATAATATGGATGAGCAATAGTGACATAATCTATTTCATGCATAAATTGTTGAGAATTTTTTATCGGCGCTAGATGCCGACGTTTTCCTTACATGACATATCACAGGCTTTCTTTAGCAGGCTTTGATTGGTTAGTTGACTCGTAAGTTCGGTCCTCACTGGGTGCCCCACACTTTCGGTCTTGTGCCGCATCTAAGCTACGTTTAGAAAATCACTTGGGCACTTCGACGTGGCGTAAAGGTTAGAAATCTTCTCTCGCTACTGAGTTCGATCCTCACTGGGTGTGCCATACTTTCGGTCTTTTGCTACATCTAAGAAAATCATTTGGCACTTCTATGTGGTGTAATGGTCAACAAGCTTGCCTTGCTAGATCAATTACGGCTGAGTAGTGCATTTAGTCTTCATTTGGTGCCTCGGATTTTCAGTCTTGTGACACATCTAAGCTAGGGTTAGAAAATCATTTGGGCACTTCTGTGTGGTGTAATGTTTAGCAAGCTTGTCTTGTAGATTAATTGCGACTGAATATTGAGTTCGATCCTCACTGGGTGTCTCATACTTTTGGTTTAGTGCCACAACTAAGCTACACTTAGAAAATCAACATCACGCAGGATTTCTGTTCACCTTATCCCCTTATTTGACAGCGTGACAATACTTATTGCAAGCTGAGCAAACATCAATGGTGTATTAATAACGCAGATAATTTGTATAATTATAATATAATTAATTGTTGGTTTAATAATGTTATCACATTAATCAAATCAAACTACATAGAGTTGTGTGTCGAATCGGTAACTGTTGTCGCTTTCATTGGGATCGAGCAACCTCGTGTTATCAGTGGAGTTACATCCTTGTTGTGGATTTGAAGCGTTGTTCTTTGTCGTAAGTATTCTTTGGCTTGTTTTGTTTTACGGCATATCAACCTCAATGGGTTATTTAATGCCGACAAAATTTTTATTGCTGGTAATATTTTTTCTTCAAAAATGTATAGATGGTAATATTTTTTCTTCAAAAATGTATAGCTGGTAATATTTTTTCCAAAAATGTATAGCTGGTGTTAGGTTGGTGCAAAAATAATGTCGTTTTTTGACGTTAGTTGAACGTCAAAAAACGACATTATTTTTGCACCAACCTAATAATATTTTTTCCAAAAATGTATAGCTGGTAATATTTTTTCTTCAAAAATGTATTGCTGGTATTTTTTCTTCAAAAATGTATAGCTGGTAATATTTTTTCTTCAAAAATGTATTGCTGGTATTTTTTCTTCAAAAATGTATAGCTGGTAATATTTTTTCTTCAAAAATGTATTGCTGGTAATATTTTTTCCCAAAATGTATAGCTGGTAATATTTTTTTTTTTCAAAAA